CTTAGGATATATAGTCTCCTATAATATAATTAAAACCGATCCAAAAAAGATCGACACAATAAGCAATTTTCCTATTCCTCAGACATTACGTCAATTAAGAAGTTTTTTAGGAATGACAGGTTATTATAGAAAATTTGTAAAAGACTACGCGTCAATAACTAAACCACTTACTAAATACTTATCTGGTGAAAATGGAAAAGTTTCACAACACATGTCAAAAAAAATAAAAATCAATTTAAATGAAGATGCAATTAATGCAGCAGTTAAATTGAAAAACTTATTATCAAACGAAGTAGAACTGGCACAACCACATTTCAATAAAAAATTTATTCTCACTACCGATGCTTCTAACATAGCAATCGGCGCAGTATTAAGCCAAGAAGGCAAACCAATCACATTTATTTCTAAAACATTAAATTCTACAGAGCAAAATTATGCTACCAATGAAAAAGAGCTTTACGCTATAGTATGGTCTTTAAAGACATTAAGAAATTATCTTTACGGAGTTTCCGATTTGGAAATACATACCGATCATCAACCCTTAACTTTTGCGGTATCTACCCGCAACCCCAATGCTAAAATGAAAAGATGGCACTCATTTATTGAGGAATTTGCCCCAAAAATAATTTATAAACCAGGAGCTACCAATGTAGTAGCTGATGCACTTTCAAGGCAATACTTAAATCACATTTCGGAAGAATCTTCCTCTATAAATACTCAGCACTCAGCTGAAAGTAGTGATAACAACATCATTCAAAAAACAATGAAACCCCTTAATCAATTTAAACAACAAATCCTATTGAGCAAAGCCTCATTTACTATCCATGAATCAAAAACGACATTTGGAAGAATTAAACATATTATTGAGTATGATACTCCTGAAAATTTACTTACTATATTAAAAGATTATTTACAACAGAAAATAACAACAGCAATTCATTGTACTATAGAGGATCTTTATGAAATTAAAAATATGTTACTAAACAATTTCAATACTAAATTCGTATATACAAAACTATTTCCAATTGATATAGTCAATCTTGATGATCAGGCAGCCATAGTAGAACAAACTCATATTCGCGCACACCGCAAGTATAAGGAAAATGTGAAACAAATTCAAGGCAATTATTATTGGCCTAAAATGAATGATCATTTCAAACAATTTGTTAGAAATTGTGAAATTTGTAATAAGAACAAATACGACAGGCATCCGCAAAAAGCACCAATTGGCGAGGCTCCAATTCCTAGAAAGAGGGGGAGCAGATTCATATAGACATTTTTTTCGCCCAAAAATTAAAGTTTCTCACATGCGTTGACGCATACTCGAAATATTTAGTAGTCAAATTAATTGACGACAAAAGTAAACTTGATGAAAAAGTATTATAAATTTTTGCAAAACTTTCCTGATATTAAGAAAATAACTTGAGATAATGAGCCAGGTTTTACAACAGCTCAATTTAAATCTTTAATGCAAAGATTAAACATTCAGGTATATCACTACGACCCAAGGCATAGCACTACTAATGGTCAGATTGAAAGGGTTCATTCTACAATAATAGAAATTACAAGATGCATTAAGCAAGAATATAATTTAATAAGTGACGTTGAATCTATCTTCAGAGCTGTTCAACAGTACAACAAAACAATACATTCTGTCACAAATAAAAAACCAATTGATATATTTTTCAATAAAATAAATCATGATAATTGTCCAATTTGGACATAAATGTTAAGCTTATATTAATTTTTAGTATAAATAAATATCAATTAAAATAATTATTTGTATTAATATTTGTATTATTTGTATTATTGTATTCAGTATATGTATAAATAAGTATGTTAAATTAGTGTCTTATGTTGTTTTGGTTGTTGGATTTAATTGTGTTATCAAATATTTTAGCAATGTTGCTGGCTCTCACAACTAAATATTCGCACGCTATCAGCGTGCCAGACGTAACATGATGATCTTCACACGCCACTGTGCAAGGTTGATAGGCATCATGTTCGTTTTCTTTGATCGTGTGTTCGTTGTGAGTTGCAGCAATAGGCAAGCCGCTGCGACAATTCTGTTGTTCCCACAGGTGCAATAAGAGTTGGCGCATGGCACAAGTGATAACACATTTAAGTCACCAAATTTGTGAAGCAAGTTGGTATATGGCAAAATACATATACCAGCTTGCTGACTGCATCAAATTGTATAAGCATAGGAAATGCACATATTTTCCACGAGTGCCCTTGGCCTTGAATGTTCAAAGTCCATCGGATAACAAATCGTGGGAACTAGGTGCATTTGCTCTTTTACCATAAGCTTAGTGTTAAGCATTTTGTATAAAAACACAATATTTTGTAATAAATCATTCATTCAATACAGAACAGCCCTTGCGTTTTAATTAGTTCAAGTGCTTATTAAAACTCAATTGCAAATAGGTTCAAGTGCCTAGTTGCTCAAAAAATATTGTTATTGTTTGAATCCACCTGAAGTTGGTTTTTTAAGTGCCAAATTCAGACCTTGCAATAGGAACTGGTTCAAGTGCCAGATTCCTAATCATAAGCAACACTGAATCGATTCAAGTGTCGATTCAGTTTCAATAAGAAACGACTTATTGAACAATAATAATGAAATGAATTTAAAAAATGCTCAAAGCAAAATGATTAAAAGGAACGAAATTAATAAACCCCTAAAAATATATAAACAAAATGATATAATATATGAGAAAATAATAGGTGAAAGAAATAAGCTTCAACCAAAATTTAGAAAACAAAAAGTTAAAGAGGACTTAGGAAACAGGATAAGAATTTTTAAAAATAATAGAATAATTCATAAAGATAATATTAAAACGTAACATACTTTTCAGACAATGGAAATTTTTATCTTAATAACATTATTAACCAAATTGGTTACAACGGATATCATAGACTACACGCGTGAAGACTATGTATTAATCGAAAACGATAAAGCAGCAATCTACGATGACTTTGGTGAAATTTACCATATAACTAACTTAACATATTATGATCAAATAATACAACAATTTCAAAACGCATTAGATACGGAAATGAACTTCGTTAACAGTGATAATAAAATTAACTATGTCGACATTGACACGGATATTCATATAATCAGAATACTTTTTACACCATTACAAAAAATAAAAATTCACAGAAATAAACGTGGTATTAATGAAATAGGAACCTTATGGAAGTGGATAGCAGGTTCACCTGACCACGATGACTTCATAAAAATAACAAATAAAATAGAGGAACTAGTACAAAACAACAACCAACAATTCATTACAAACTCGAAGATTTTTAAAGCCATAACTGAACTGAATACAGTCATAAAGAACTTGAACAGTAATACTCAATTTTTTAGAATGACAAAACAACAAAATAAATTAATAATAAACGAATTACAAAATACGTTACAAACTATAACTTTAGCAAAAATGGGTATTCTCAACACAGCAATTCTGAACTTAAAAGAAATTCAGGATATTACGAAACATGAACATGACACCGTTACTATAACTGACTTAATGGATACCTCACAATTTAAAATTTTACAAAACAATGATCTAATTGTAGTATATATCAAATATCCAATTATTAAACAAAATTGTATAAAATATGAAGCCAGAGCCATAAGTAAAGAAGATGGCAAATTATTAATAGATAAAGAAATCGCAAAATGCAATGATAAATATTTAAATATAAAAAATTGTAAAATAGAAAAAAGTAACACATTTTGTCAATCTATTAATGAAAAATCCTGTTTCACGAATTTATTAAATAATGAAAAAACTAAATGTAAAAAAATAAGAGAAAGAAATATAGAATTGGAAATTATTAAAGACGGAGCTATATTGATCTCCGGAAAGAATGTTGTAAATAATAAAAAACTAAACGGTACATATTTAATAACCTTTGTTAATCATACTATCATTAATAATCAAACTTATATTAATCAAGAATCCATAATATGGAATTATGTAAAAAATATTAAACCAGTAAATTATGAAATATCTGAATATATAGAATCCGAAAATAAAGATTTAAAATTTGAAAATATTAAATTGCTAGATTTGTATAAAAATAAAATAGAAAGACATCCAACAATGTCAATTATTATTGGATTAGTCATAAGCACGTTAATTATATTCATATTATTCAAAATTATTTCGAAAATTAAAAAGTATAAAAGAAAAATTAATAATAATAAGAATGAAGAGCTATTCATAGAACTGAACTCTAGAATACAAACATTGACTGAAGCGGGACGCTTCAATCAAGAAAGAGGGGAGTTAAAACCCTAAATTAACATAACGGCACTGAGCCACTGTTTAATACTTTTGTATCTTCAGAATGCGTACTTAGATATTACGCATTAAAATATCTTTACATAAACATTCTGGGTCAATGCCCACACTTCATTTGACAGCAATGCTGCAAAGGAAAACAAAATTGTTTTCTTTAACTCATTTGAGATATTTGATTGTTAGATATAAACATCATCTTCCGGCTACTGACGCCGAAGCTAAAGACGCTGACGAGGTGCTTTAGCAAATAGAAGCTCCAATTCTATTGGTTGGAGGAAAAGACGCTTCTAGAAAATTCTCAGGAATTTTAGAAGCTGTGCTCTAATTGGATAGAACCCAATTTCATAATCAAAATAATAACTTCAGTTATTGAAGAATAAAACTTCAGGAGTCAGTCTAGTTCGAGCATTCAAGAAGTTAAGCCTTAAATCCTACCTATTCGGAAAACTAAATTTATAACATATAATTGATATATATGTCGGCAGTGATGCCAAACTAGTATGTTTGGATGTGGCCGCTACTCGCAGGTAGGTGGCGCTTGTGCTTCTCACTCACAAATAGAGGGCGCTATCGCGCTGAATAAAGAAATGTGTATGAATAGCTGAATCAGCTGATGGGTGGTAGCACTGAATGAGAAAGGAGGCGTCAGAATTGGTTAATAAGCGAGAACGAACGCATCGCATCATGGCGAGTCGGCGGTTAAGAAATGCAAATGCGACATCAGAAGTGGGATCAGAATCTTTTGAAGGATGGCAGCAAATAATAGCTCGTCAAAATCAAAGTTTGGAAGCAATTGCGCATGCGTTACTCGGTCGGAATAGCGAAATACATTTACCTGAATTTGACCCAGCAACTGAGGGCGCTGATGCTCATGCTTGGGTTGTGATGGCTGATATGGTCGTTGGTGAAAATTCGCTGCAAGGAAGTGCACTATTGTCTGCATTAAGCAGAGCCATGAAAGGGGCAGCGTCAGTGTGGCTATCACAAATATCACACACGGGGCTAACGTGGGCCGAATTTAAAGAATGTTTTAAAACACGGTTTGAAATTTACGAATCAGCAGCCGCTTTTATTTTAAACATGAAAAATAAAAGACCAAATGAAGGTGAATCTATTGCAGCGTATGCAGCGACTCTGGCAGCGACTCTGATTTCGCGTTGGAGTGATATGTCGATAGAAAATATTGCTGTGTCTATCGTTTTGGCGCATGTTGCACAATTTGACAATCGTTTGCGTCGATTAGCGCATACGTGTGTTGCATATACTTGTAAGTCGCTTCAGCAAGAACTAAAAGCAATTTCTATTAAGCGAAAGATGATCGACAGTGCTGGTGACAGTGCGCCTAAACGGCAGAGTTCCAGTTCAGCTGCAATAAAGTGTTTTCGCTGTGGTTCGAGTGGCCATAAAGCTTTCCAGTGTAAATCGTCATCAAGCAATGATAAGGCAGTAACTTGTTATAAGTGTAAACAAGTGGGCCACTATGCTTCTAAATGTAAAAAAAATGAAAGTAAACATATCGAGAAACGGGTGGAAATGTGTGCCGTTGGAATGCCAATGGGGACTCTGACACATGAGGACAAGAAATTCAATTTTTTATACGATGCTGGTGCTGAATGTTCCTTAATGAAGAAGAATGTAAGCAGTAAATTTAGTGGTAAGAAAATTTTTAATAATGGAAATGTGACCGGCATCGGACAGGCTAGTATAGAATGCACTATGCAAATTGTTTCAGAAATACAAATTAGTGGAGTTTGCTTAGAAATAGTGTTCCATGTACTGGCAGATCATTGTTTGCGAAATGATATTTTAATAGGGCGTGAAATTTTAGACCTTGGACTTACTATAACAATGACTGCAGACACTTTAGTGGTGTCAAAAATAAAAGAAGTCAGCACATGCAGTTCAACGCAGTCGTTTGAAATAAATGATAGTAGTATAGATATAGATATTTTACCCGCTGCGAGAACCAGATTGATGGACATTTTAAATACGTTTGAAAGAAATTTTATAGATGGTATTCCTCAATTTCGCGCCAAGAC